CAAACATACCGGGTTTACATACCAGCGAAACGGACCACATCGTACCATAAAATAGAAAATAACTATTGTACAAGATTTAGCCAAATGTGACTGTAAATGTGGGAGGTAGTAATTGATAGACTGGGGATAACTCGAGAATGGTAAATCGTATAGTAATAGTTCATAGATCAAAATAAAGCTTATGACAAGAGGGACACGAATCTGAATAGTTTAGTTACTTAACGATTATACAATAAAAATATATGTTTAGTATTAGTCCATAAATGGATCCCAACAATTAGCATCCAATATACTAGTATAGATGTAACACTAACCACACAATTATTTAATCTGTCCGTATAATGACTGAGAAGATTTACATTCAATGTGTAACACGCGAAGGTCAAAAATGACGAGCGTCTGGACAGAATCGGTATGGCATGACTCGACCTTGTGGGTGCGGTTATTCTATGTAACTTATCCTCACTCACATTAAATCTATTATTCTATCCCCAGCTCGAATGTGTTAAACACCATATCGTTGGTTGTCACAATACGAAGATTCAGTAAAGACAATGATGTTGTGACTTCCTCGTAAGATCTTATAAATGACATGAATGTCATACAAATAGATTTCAACAGTTACCATTCATTATTCTTATCAAGATATAATAATAAACGAAAGAATATTGTAAAATTTGTGACTGGTTTTCGAATTATTATTCTTTGTTGTTGTATAGTTGCTAAGTATCTGGATTGTTATAGTTGTGTTTTTCATTTATTATAAGCTTTTGGCTAACTCATTAAATACTGTTATACAGTTCTATATTTTAGAATATTAAAGATTCCCATTGTGTTCTAATAGCACCCTGTCACATTCACAACCACATATGGCTCGTTTATGGTGTGATACAGTCCAGTATATCTGTATATAAACCATGTCTGTTTGAAATATGATAATGGAAGTTAGCTGCTGACTATTTGAACTCAAGGCAGGGTATTGAGAGAACCTTGGGAATAATGTTTCAGTAGGAACTTAGTTACGTCATAGTACCTGGTTAGTAGTGCTGGTGGGGTACACTAAACTATGGAGGAAATAGTAGATGCGCAGTTAACAAAAATTATAATTAGGTTTCTTATAGGTGACTTGGCACTTGATATTGGCCATTCGTTTCAAGACACAACATACCACATGACCTCTATTGATCAAGTGTGATAGAATAGAGCCCCTCTAGAATAACTGTTGGTCCAAAGCCCTACTAATGAAGAAGAATTGAACGTGAAATTAGCTATCCTACTCTGTAAAGAAAGCCGTCACGAAAATATTCTAACCAAGAAAAATAAATTATATTATGTCCTGGGAGTAGAACAGTATTCACTTAGAAGAGTTAAGATGTCCTCATTGCGAAAGTCGAGATTCTTAGTAATTTATATGGAAAACGCCCCTTCTGATAACCAGAACAACAATTAATATTAGGTACACGGAATGTCCGAACAGTGTGGAAGACGAGGAGGACCATTCAAATAGCCGCATAATTGAGAAGACACAATCACCTTATGCTTCGCAAAAGCGAGGAGATAGTTTGTGAATAACTTAACTATTTGCCTAACCCAGGCCATTGACCATATGTCCCTGTCAAACTGCAAGTATATACATTTGCGCAAGTTGCAAATGCTGTTAGGATTTTAACTATAAATCTTTCTTCTCAATTGTCTTATTGTCCTTTGGAATACCTTATCGGTCAACTAATGAGATCATGACAATGACTGGATCGAACAGGAGAACTGACTTTTCTGACTCCACCATAGTACTAAACTTTCATTCTATTTTTTATTATCTGAATGGAACACCGAAAACATTGTTGACTTTGACTGAAAGTCAATATGAAACGCTAATGACACATACTACTTATTACTATTAAGTAGCATAACATGTTTCGTAAGTTTATTTTGAAGTGAAGTCATCTTAAGAGACCGACCAACTTCCGTTGCTGAAATGTTCGTATACATAACTTCATCTCCATATTAGTATATAACCTTGGAGTAAAGCCAGCTGAAAAGTGATATGCTTTGTTCAATAAATGACAGTATTTATGTTTTCAAGTTGACACTAACCTCTAAGGTAGTAGAAGAGGAATCTGAAGATGTAAAAACTAACATATCTGGTCAGCATCATTGATGAACAGAGTGGATCTGATTCAGATGTGAAGGCGCAGATCGGCAAAGCAAGAGCAGTATACTTACAATTTGAGAACATCTGGAACTCAAAGCAACTCTCTGTCAACTGCCAACACCAAAATCGGAGTTTTCAATACAAACGTCAAAACAGTTCTACTGTATGAGGCGGAAACTTGGACAATTACGAAAGCCATCATCCAGAAGATACAAGTGTTTATTAACAGTTGTCTATGCAAAATGCTTTGGATCCGTTGGCCAGATACTATCAACAACAACCTACTATGGGAAAGAAGAAACCGGATCCTAGTGGAGGAAGAAGCGCTGGAAGTGGATAGGACACATATTGAGAAAAACACCCAACTGCATCACAAGACAAGTCCTCACATGGAATCCTCAATGCCAAAGTAGGAGAGGAAGACCAAATAACGCGTCACCGAGAAATGGAGACAGACAGAAGAGAGTGAGTTGAAGAATGCTGGTCGTCAGCCTATGCTCTATTGGGGGTAACAGGCGTAAGTAATTTATAGGGAGAGAGGAACAGAGCAAACAGTATTTCAAGACAGACAGTCCCCAATGAAAATCCTATTATCGATCGATAATAATTTGACCAGAATAATATAAATTCTACCTTGTTAAGTGTAATGATAAGAAAAGTCAATGTAGGTAGTTACAAGTAAGCAAACAAATAGCTACGACTAATTTCTTCCCATTTTAATGTATTTCTTATTTCTATGATGTCCCAATTTCTGACGTCTTATTGCCTAATACAGGTCACTTTTTTTTAGAGTAAATAAATAACTAGTCATAATTCTTTACTTGTTGGGATATCACAAAAATAGATTCGTAACATTCTACCTAATGTTAAATTTATTTAAAGGTATCAAGTTCTTTTAATATCAGTATGAGATTGTGGAGATTGTTAGGTTTTTGCTTGAGATCATGAAACGATTGATGTTAGACCACTAATAAAAACCTGGAAGCACTGGACAGCCGTTTCATCTTATTGTGGGACTTCTCAGCAGTGTGCATTCACGATCCCGCTCGTGAGATTCGAACCCAGGGCCTTCGGTCTCAGGTGCAAACGCTCAATCTCTAAACCACTGAGTCGACATTCAATAGTGTTAATGTCTAACCTTAACTGTGACCAGTGGAGCTAATCCGTGTCGGGTAGGGAAAGGTATCTACCTCAGTACAATGGAAAATGGTCGCGCAATTTCGTTCTTTTAATAATCGAATCAAATTGTGGTTGGATCACTATACTACTTATTACAAAACGTGAATAGCTTGAATGTTTAAATCGATTTGAAGACGACCTTGTAAATATTCTCTCCACAAACTGTCGAATATTGTATTCAATAGATATTATCAGTAGATGTCAATCTGAAAGACATTTCTTGCGGCAAATCTTTTCATGAGGAATAAGTTACAGTAAACTGACCAATTTAATGTATATGCCATTGTTCAACTGCTTCTGTGAAGCAAATTATTTATTCATTCGTTGAAGCTTCTTCTTTACCGTATTCAAAATCGTTTAACAAAAAGCAACATATATCATTTACATCCTCTATCCAGTAACATAGAGTAAATTCAACATTAGATAATTTCATTGATATGTTTCGTAAGATTACTTTAAACACTTCAAAAGAATTACGTCTAAATCGATTTGGGATTGTAGAAGATTTAAGTATTCGGTTATATGTGATTAAAATTGTTGCCAACTCCAAACTTTGATTAACCTTGATCATTCCAGCTGATTCGTTTAATCAAATGAATATTCCCTACATATTTTTGACTGCTCTCCTCACTATATTACTATCCTAACAATCATACAAATAGCATCCCTGAGAACAAGTGAGCACTAGATAGCTATTTATCATGGTATGCAATTCCTGAATTATGATTTTTGTTGGTGCCAAGACTTAAGTCAATCCATAACGAATGTCACATGCAAATTTCCACTAACCTCATAAATAAAAAATGTAATCATGAGATCACTAGTGACTTATTTTGAGATGAGTTCCTTAGGTTTTAGTGATAAATTATGACTGACAAAGTCCAGACATGTCGAGAGTATAATAAACATTGCATAACGAATTGACTACCGATGGGAATTGGTACTATCAGTCTGTAACTCAGTGTTCGCTATAAGACATGTAGGTCCCCGGTTCGAGTCTTAACGAGGTTATGGGTGAGCACTGCTACAGATCAGTTTACTGGGACAAAGTACCTTCCAAGTGCGCCCTAGTTTCCAATGGTAATCTAACTAGTAAATATGTGACGAATAATAAGTAATAGAGAAACAAATCACCATCATAACCTTATATTAAGAGAAAACAACATTTTATAAATTAACAATTCACTACACACATACACCTTTAAAAATGACATTCAAAAGGACCGTCCCACTGAAATAACTGTCATCTGTATGTTACAATGCTTTCAGTGGATTAGGATGGAGTTGTTTTTTATACCGCTTACTCTTATTTAGATAGTTTATTGGCATAGTATTTACTAGGGTTAAATAAGGTCATCATGGCCAGTATAATCGTATCATACAGTCTTATAATAGGATACTATTATTAAAACAGTCGATTATTTTATTGATTCGTGTACTCGGCATCGATCCACACTTAAAATATGAGAGCTAGTGATACTACACGACAACCTAAACAACAGTAGTCGGAGAGGGTTTCGACCGCAAAACTTAGTGGATGAAAATCAGTTTGGACAGTTGACTAACTTTCCTATTGGTTCAGCTAGAAAATGCGACTTAAATCCCATTACATGAACCTGTTCTACTCTAGTCCCACAATGAAATTGTATAATTGTAAAACACGATAAAGTTGAAAGTATTAATATATTTTTTGTTCCTTAGTAAGTTTAAGAATCAGACAAAGGAAGCACAAAGGAGGCAGAAGTAGTAGTAGTAGTAGTAGTAGTGGTAGTAGGGATAGTAATGGTTATTATTTTTTTTAATTATCACGGTATGTTTTTTTGTGTCTCTGAAGAAAAAAACATTCATTTAAAGAACTAAAGAAATACGAATAATTAAGGTATTTTTCGCTGTCTGTTTTTTGTTGTTACTTATTAAGAATAGTAATAATAAGAACAAACCAATGAGTACTCCCACAAGATAATTGTTAGGATAAAACAAAACAAAAACAAAAAAGAACGAAGCGCATAAAGGAAAATTAGTGACAATAATAACTAATGAATTAACAATCTAAAAAATTAGCAGCCATTAATAATTCTAATGAAATTTCAGGAGCAATAGGAAATTCTGGTATTTCACTTGAACTATTTGTATAACGTACTTTATAAGCGAAATAACTGCATACTTTTTGTAATACATGTGATGGTATTTCACGAAAATGTACAACATTTGTTTCATTCTCTTGAAATTGACCTGTATTAAAAAAAGAGATAGGATATTATTTAATATAATACAATAAATATTGATGTGAAAGCTAATGAGTTTTTTTATGCCAGCCAGTCAGTAATCAACAACGTACAACAGTTCAACTTGCCACACCACATTAGCACAAAGATGCAGGTGTCGATTCAAATCCCGTAGTGGTAGAGGCGGTAAGAGTATAAGCAGTAATCGGAAACATTAGGGTTTGAAGATGTTATTCAAGGAGTATAATACAGTGAAATAAATTTGGAAAGAGAAAAAAGAGACAACAAGGAATCAGGAGATTAAAATTTGGGAGAACACAAAGAGTGTATGCATCTGCGCCATTGCAAACGATTTTGAGCCATGTCATTCAGGGTATCTAACCATCGGTTGCTATCATCTCGCGGTCCCCAACCAGGTAGTCTACACCTACAAACATGACTCAGTCCACTTGTCAGTGACTTCATGGACTTGTGCCATGTTTTTGTCTGGCCGCCCATGGCTTTCTTCCAACCTACTCCTATACCACTGAACGTCGCACGTCGAGGCAGTCGGTCGTTGGGCATATGTAATACGTGTCCCAGCCATCTCAACTGATGAAGTTTCACTACTTCATTAATGGATTTGCCATCCTTACCTAGTACCCGTTTCCTAACAACTGCATTACTTACTCCATGGTGCCAGGATATACGAGCAATGTTTCGAAGACACCTACGATAAAATAGTAGTAACTTACGAATATCCTCTACTCTTAGCGGCCATGCTTCACTGTCATAAAGTAGGACGGAACGAACTGCTGCGCAGTAAACACGTCCTTTGGTTGATAGACGGATATCTCGCCTACGCCATAAATGACGCAAGTTGGTGAAAGCTAGTCGAGCCTTTTGTATCCGTGCTGAGATTTCGTCACACACCAGACCACAAGGGCTGATGAGACTTCCAAGATAAGTGAAGCGGTCGACACGCTCAATTACTTCACTCCCTATCTTTAGTTCGGGTGTCAATGCAACCCAATCCTGAAGCAACATTTTGCATTTCGAGGGGGAAAATTGCATCCCGAACATGCTTGCATCGTTGCTTAGAGTAGTCAGAAGACTGCTTATTGTCAGCATCTTCACCATGATTAGCACGTAAGCCATCACATTGCCCTCCATGGGTCGATAAGGAGACCTGAAAGCTGCTGAGGAAACGCTTCTGGGACGAATTCTTAACAGGCCACGAATTTCTTAAATGTGAATACCAAAAAATCCGGAATATAGCAAAAAACAATAGTTGCGAGCTGCACTACTTACGAAGGATAGTTGGTATGCGATAGCCGTACTTGTCCAAATAAAGAACAAAACGTTAATGGGGTCTTTCCAAACTCACGATGAACGCTCAAGACGCCTGAACCTTTTTTGTCGTATCGCAGAATGCGAGGTAACCCTATATTGGCACTTCATATCTTTAAAAACGGTCTTATTTTGATGCTTCATCCAGACTAAAAATCTTCGAGGTCATAGCAAGAAGGTTCAAAACCTTGATACAATAAACTGTGTTCTGCTTCTCTATTTGAGTGTTCAATGACTGAAACGCCTTACTCGAACAAGCACATGTTCACCGGCCTTCTATCCTTATAACAGAAGACTGATAGGAATGCAGAGTTTTGAGCTGTTACGACAGATCCAAACGTCATGAGGAATGTTTGGTAAGTGTCAGAAATTGTATTGGAATAAGACCTTATAAATTATGAAAGAGGCGATAACACTCAAAAATTACTATGACGCAATATATCTCAATATTGCTTACAATAATGTATGGACGTTATGTAACCTGACCAGCTACATCTTATAACTGAATGAATAATGTATATGATAATTAACTAGAATTTTATGGTGAAAACGAATTTTAACTTGGAAAATATGGTGGTTAAATAAAAACAAATTAACCCACCTGGACCTGAAAGCATTGCTTTTATGGTACCACTCGTAAGAGCATGCTCTCGACGGACGTAGAACTCATGGTCGTCTGACGATACGAGCTTTACATACATAGCATCTGCCCCTTCAGCACCCCCATACTTTTGTTCTGCACCAGCACTCGACTGAACCTCAGTCATCCCAATCAAGTAAAGCGCGAAAACCCAGACGCAAGCGGCGGGAGTGACCTTCAAGAAAATGGTTTCAAATGAAGGGGTACGAAGTTGGATGAAGCCTACGGACTCGAATCTGTCATACATAACTAGCGAATTGTTTGTTTCTTAAAACATGATTCTCTACAGAGAGGTTATGGAGAAGTGTGTTTTTCTTTATATTCCTCTTAGCGACTGAAGAACAGGACAATATAGATGTGAATAAGTTATCGAGCACTTGCACTTATAACAATCCCTCTTAGTACCTATATGAGTAAAGCAATCGTTCAATTTTCCCTTAAAAGATTCAAAAAATTGGTTCATTACCATAGCTATCAGTAGTCTCACAACTTACTGATTCAAGCTGCAGAAATCTTTGCTCAATTTTTTGTGCTAGTTCTCTTGTTTTCTACATCGAGTAGATCTCCTCTTAAGTTCTACTTAGTACTGAAACATATCAGTGTTTTTTCTAAGGGCAGAGAGCTATGGGCAATATTACTATTGATGATGATATACCACATTATCCTTCCATGATACACTGGCTGTAAGATAAGGGCTTCTAGGCAAGTCGAGTAGGATTAGTTTTCCAATTTGAATGCCCTTTTTATTTTCACTTCTTTGAATACGCCCCATGAAAGTAGTACTCTTCTTGAGATAAGGGGATGTAAAACATGATTTTTACCCAGATGAGATTCTAAGTAAACTCCGAGACAATTTTGAATAATCCTATAGACAGGTTAACACCCGTTCTGGGGGAAACCCCGAGGATGAATCAAATTTGTTGACTGAAGAATTTTCATGAGAAGAGACACTTAGAATATCCTAAACGTGGATACATTGGTCGTTTTTGGTGATGGAAAGTGCAATTCTAGGATTATCTATGAATTACGTGTTATATGGAGAATCATATGTTTCGTTCACTAGATTTTCATATGGAGCCTCCGACAACAGTAGCAGTTCACGATCTATTTCTTAAGGTAAGGGGCCAGAATACGTAAACAGAAATAAAAAGAAAGTTTTAATAAGTTAGTAGTGGATGACATTTTCAGTTTAAGAAAAATAATCATGTTTTCTTAATAAGCTTTCCAGATCAATGTGTGAAATAAATTCGAACGTTACTTAATTCCATGAATAGACTACTGTTCTCTCATAGAAGCTATTCTTTAAAACAATCCCTTTCTGTTGGAATCCCAGTACTCCTTCTATAAATTTGTGGAAGTTGTTTGTTAGTGAACAATTCGGAGGATATCCAAGAGTTTGCGAAGTTACGCTTTATTACTGTACCTTTTCTGAATCTCCCAAATCCTATTTGGAAGAGGTCCAGTGTTTTCAAGCATTCATCACAGGAATTGAACGTCAGAAATTGGAGTGATTCTGTTGTTTGGCTTCAGATATATATCATAAATATTTTCCTTTTTAAAAGTGAAAAAGGTAACACTCTACATGAGGCCGGATGGAATTAATCTAAGTTTGCTGAGAGCTCTTATCACCAACCTGCAAAATAAGTCTTTAAGTTGCTCGTGCAAGGTTAACGTGGAAGGAATATTTGTCGCAGAGAGCATGCGAGTCGAGGACGTTCCGTATATGCGACGATAAGAGCCATTTTGACCTGACGCCCACGTTAGGAATTGGAGTTACGAACGAGATTGAAACATAAGGTTTTAGGTTTTAAAAGAGAATTTTGATCGCGAAGATCAAGACTTGTCATCACCTATCGTTGAGATAGAATTCTTATTTCATTTTAATTTGTTAATTAATCTGAAATTACATTAAATTGCAGCTAATAATTCCAACGTAATTCTGCCTGGAACCTTTTTGGTGCTACTGCCGGTCTCAAGCCCGGATAAAGAGGGAGGGTTGGGCATAGTGTTAGCAATCACATCCCGTGGAAAATTAACTCTCTAAAAAACGCTAACCAGAAGAAATATCTCAATGTGGTTATATAAAAATAGTTGCAAATGGATCGTCCATTAGTTCAGTCGTATCAACAGGGATAATAAGTTCATGTGTTTTTGATGACAGATTACGCATCTTTGAAGAAAGCCACAAATAACAACACGAAAATGAGTTATTCTGTTAAACATTATAGTGTTACCAAGGGACCACTAATAAACGGAAAATCACAAAGGTCGGGATCAGAATTATAACAAGAAACGATGGAAGAATTCTGTGGCCCATTGAATCGATCGTCTGCTAATTACTAGTGAGTCGGGCTATGACCATCTCCATTACCTCATATAGCCAGTTACAAAACCACGGAAATATGGGATGGTAATTCTTATCAACATTTATTTCCGACAAAACGGCTGCATGCTATGCTTACGTAAATAAATTATGATTTACTGCAACGGTAGGAGCATTGTAACGACTTTCAGTGGAAAACTGTTGATTATATATTTGGATGCAAACCACTTTGGCACGTACCAAGAAAAACTACCCTTACTATTGATACGGACCGTATTAGTTGTGAAACACTACGACTAATCGTTACACAAGATTGGAAATTTAGAATTTACCCTCTGCATGTGATGTTGAGGGTAATAAAAATATGTCGGCCGACTTGTTGTCACAGTCTGAGATGCACAAGTTACTGGTAACACAAATGTGAAGAGATGACGAAGTGAACATTTGGTTGGTAAGTCAATAAACATTGTTGAAATTAGAGATGCTACTCCTCACTGACACTGTGAACGTAATTTATGAGGTCGCCATAAGCCAGCCGAGAACCTTTATGCTGGTGACACTAAGATGGCAAACATCTAACAAAATGTGAAACACTTCCCACCTCTGTATATGAGCAACAATAAAATCAGTTAGCGACCTGCAGGTGACTTTAATTGCGTTGCAGCATATGACAACGTGTGCGAGAGTGTTTAGCGTACTAACGAGCTAACGTTAGGAAGTAAACAGTCATGCTCAACTTAACAATTGCAGACCCGGAGAAGCAAATCGAGCACATGCACTCAAAAGCTTGTACCACCGTATCTGTCGAAAGGATGGTGCACACAGACATATGTAGTTGGATTAGCCATACGATCCATAGCTGTCGGCAGCAAAATTACACAACAAAATATTCAAACATACTCCGCGCTCTATTCAGGAAGATTTGGAATGAGGAAGAAGTGCCGACGGACTGGAAAAAAAGATATCTCATCAACATACCGAAAAGAAAGATAACTGGGAAAATGTTAGAACTGCAGAGAAATAACACTACTATCAGTACCGGGAAACGTCAACAAAGTTTTACTGAATCGGACGTCAAGCTTCTAGATCAACAGGCCGAATTACTTTAGAGCCGTTAGTGCTCAAACCATGTCGCGAAACTATGGGTCATCAGTGAACAATCATTTGAGTAAAACTCGTCACCATGCATCAACTTCATGGACTATTAGTAGGTATTTGACAACATGGATAGGATAAACTTGTCGAACCTTCTTCGACATACTGGATTGAGTAGCTGAGAAGAACATCATCATCCGAAATTGATAAGACGGACTACAACGCAAAGTTATGCATGGAGAACAGCTGACGGACGCATTCCAAGTGAGTACCCCAGTCTGAAAGGGTGATTACTCTCACCCTTTCTCTTTCTTCTGGTGGCTGGACAACATCGCTTATCACTCTTGGATTCAGAACAGGGTTATGTAGCGATATTACTAACTATAAGCCCATTAACTAAACACCCGTGCTATCGAGAAACGTAGAAAAATTGTAGTGGCACTGGGTTCTAATCACAAAATCATCAAAGCTGAACAAGAGACAATTGGGAAACTAGATATTCAACGTTTAACACTGAGAAACACCCAACGATGGAGAAGGCGGGAACAATGAATTGAATTGATCCTAGTTGGTCGGATGGCATGGCTCGGCCTTACAGGCGTGGTCCCTGTTGAATTTTACCTCATATATTTTACTCATACTAAATGTATTGTTCTAATTCCCGCCTGAATGTGTCCCCCATCGAATATCGGTATTTGTTAGGATACGATGAGCCAGTGTGGACAATGGTGTGACTTCCACGTAATATCTTATAGAGTAGGCAGTTACATCATGACAAATGTACAATGTACAATGGGTTGTCACATTTCGGATAACAATTTTGTTTCTGGTTAAGGCGTTGTCAAAATCCAAATACTTGTGGCATCTTTCAATGTGAACAGTGAGTTTATATAAGGAAGTGTGATTGGGCCATCAATCATTCTCCTTTTCATCAATGGCGTGTACTCACTCGTTTAACACGGCAAAACTTTACTTTTTGCCGGTGATCTAAAAGTGCTTTATTTATTCTCGTCTCTTACCAAAGAAAAATGTATTTCAGTGGTAATCTAAAAAGATATAGACAAGTTATACCAATGGACTTTATTGCAGAATCGAGAGCCAAGCGTTGACAAAAGTGGATTTATTTACTTTGACTGTGGCCTTAAACTAAGTTTGGCTCTACACACTTACATAGTGAAACCTCTCAACAGTATTCATGACTTGTGCTTGAGGTATAGCAGCAGTTTAAAATTTCACGAACTTACTGCATCTCAAGTATCCAAAGCAAGAAAGCTCATTGGACTAATAATAATACATTTCAATAACTGAAAACATGTAACAGCTTAGGTTGGTTGGCTAAGAGTTGACCCCAAACAACCAAGCATATGCCAAAACAGTATTGTTCAAGTATTCATTCACTTCTTTGTTTTGTATAAGCGTTATATTCCCTATTATCTTATATTGAATGTTGAGAGCCTTTGTTTGTCTGAACAGAAAGTCCCACGCTCCACTGTGACCGCGCCGAGATCGAAATAAAGACCTATTCGCTGCTTGTCTGGTTTCTTCTATCAATAATAATAATAATAATAATAATATATTCTCAAATAACAGTTTGTTACATGAGGCATGCCAGTTTACAGGCAAGATCAAATTGTTTTTTTTGATACAATATACACTGTATTAAATTACATAGCTGGGTTGAAAATTTATAAGACATGAATGCAGATTGTTTTAATCAATACTACAGTTGGCGCGCTTCACGAGAGTTGCGTTGCGAATGTGCGACTGATGGTCAAGAATAGGCCCATTAAAGGCATGAGCTTCTAGAAATCGCAACCTTATGTCCCTTTGGGATATCCAAGGCTTTAAGG